GTTGGCCAAAAAATTTTCAAATTTCATTTAGGGGGTAAAATTTGAATAAGAGGCTATTTAGGGATTAGGTAATTTCCTTTGCTTTTATTAGTCTAGCTTGTTAGGGTTTGGGGGGATCTTGAATTTGAAATTAAATTTAGGATCTAGGGTTGGTTCTTTTTGGCTCTAGGCTTGACTAGAGATTTGGAGAGTTGTTTTTTCCTCTCGAATTGAAGAAACTTGTATCATTTGCTATTTTTCTGCATCTACAAGTGAAATTCTTCGTTTTCTATCAGCTTTCTTCTGTTTTTTCCCAAGAAATTTGCTGTACTGTTGCTGTTTTCTGTTGTAAACAATAGTTTTGCTCGCTGTATTCACCAATTGTCGTTAGGTTTGCTTGTGAACTCAAGCATTTCCCTTAGGGTTACTTGTGAACTCAAGTACTTCCTAATAAATTGGTATCATAGCACGTCGATCTAAGGATATCAATGGAAGGAAGGAAAGTTGAAGTATTGGAGGAAGAAATAGGCCAACTAAAGACATATTTTAAGGAAAAATCGCTGATTTTCATAATCAATTTACTTCCATCCATGAAAAAATGGATGGAAGGTTCGCCACCTTGGACGACATAATGAAGAAGATGGTTGAAGATAAACAAATTTTCTTATATTACCGACATATTCATTTGGATCTAACACCGACATCAATTTCTTAGGATCAATTTTGGAAGAGCCAACGAACCCACCAAATTAGTCATTGTTATTTGGTAAGATATTTTAAAATACATAAATCATAAAAATACAAAATAATTGAAATACATGTAACTTAGGTTTCCTTAAAGACAACTTTCTTACTATTTTTTAAAATAATTTTTTGCTAGCTAAGATGGAAAAAAAGTGTTGTAGAATACATAGTTGAGTATACTACATGTCTAAGGGTTAAAGCATAACGCCATTTCTTTCCAGCTAAACAAACTAATTATGTGGAGAAATTATCAAAATTGCATGTGGATGGAACTATAAGATTAAATGTATATAAAAAACTATGTTATTGGATAAAGATGATAGGTTTTTATCCATATTATGCAAGAAGTTTTGAGAGCCTAACTAACGTTCAATACTACATTTCACTCTCAAACAAATGGGCGAAATGTATAAGGAGGCTTTGCATTTCATTTTTTAAAACCAACGAAATCTAAACCCTAAGGAATGCGCGCAAATGAAGAAAATGAAGAAAAACAATGAGAAGAAAAAGAGAAGAAGAGGATGAAGGGGAATAGACTCATAGTGATGAGGATCGAAGGCACCGTCGGCCGGGATTCGCAAGAGGAGAAGATTTTCGTCGTAGCTATCCGGATTCGCTCCCGTCGCGCAAGCAAGATCGAAGAGAGAAATTAGGGATTTGGGTCACTTAAAGTCACGGAAGGGCTTTGCCAGCGGTTTTAATCGGTGCAATTAGGCATAATAATAATAATAATAATAATAATAATAGGACTAATAATGCGTTTGTTATTATTATTATTATTATTTCTATAGTACTTAACATAATTTATTTGGATGAGATTTGAGAGGTCTTTAATTGTATCACTATTTGACATATATAAATATGATCAATGTACATAACTGTATTAAAATAAATCAAAATTAGACACAATAAGTAGTAAAAAAAAGCTAAGATTAATAAAGAGTATTATATTATTCAGAGGATTAATATGGATCATTTGATGAAGTTTTTGAAGATTTTGACAAAAATAATTAAATTCTCACTCTAAATTTTATAAATAAGCTGAAAAATTATAGAACTCTACTTGATGGATGAAGTTCATTATGAGTTTATGACTTCCAACAATCATCAATTGTCATCACCAAACTACCTTCTCTTGATCGTTGTGGTCTTCTGCCTAATGAAAAGGCGATGATGAGGAAATATTTTTATTGTTCTTTAATTTTATTTCTAATGTACAAAGCAATATATATAGAGAATTATGCCTCCTTCAATCAAGCAACACATTGAAATCACATTTACTTCCTTTCTTAAACATCTCAATTTTATAGAAATCCAACATTTTTCCTAAATTAATAATGAAGATTTTTATGGTCCATTCACAATTATATCCATCCTAAAACATCAAAATAAATTCTCTTTAATTAGATTTTCATTTTCTCATGCACATGCAATATATATATTGAGTGTATTAATATGAACCCTCAATAAGAGAAATTATAATGTGCGGTCACAAGACGTCATCCGGAGGCGAATTAGGACACACCACATCACTTTTTTGTTGTATACCGGTGTTGTTTACTGCTGTGTACCGGGTGACATGACACATCTTAATTCACCTCCGGACAGTCCGGTGACTGCACAGAATAATTTCACCCTCAATAAAGTCATACAATCTAATCACATTTATATCCTTCTTAAAAGCTCTCAATTTTACTACCATCACTTCTCCTAATTAATGAAAGAATATATACCAATAATATCTTACAAAATTAAAATTTGTGTATGTCTGCTGAATTAAAATTGTTAATCCATCATTGAAATCAATTATAACATTTCTAAAACATCTCGATTTTATAGAAATCCTTCAATTTTTGTAAATTAATAGAGAATATTTAGATTCATCTTTCGCAGTTATATCCTTTTGTAAAATATCTCAATTATAGCTATAACGGTCAATTTTCTTAAATTAATTTCGATAATTTATATCCTCCCTAAAACTTCTCAATTTTACAATCATCAATTTTTTTTAATACTTCAAAAAATTTATTTAGCTATAGTCTTACTATTTTAAAAATTTGTGCTAAATTTATGTATTTGTGTGCTAAATTAATATTAAAATTATATGTTTTTTTCATATATAACATGCCTCCCCGCGATTATATTAGCTATAATTATAAGTAAAAGTGTAGAGTTTTTTTCATAAATATAAATTGTTCCCGGGGTTTAAAGGATCGGCCCATGGCCGTCCTGGATGCCGCGATTAAGAAGAATTACATCCCAGACGCTGCGACTAAAGAAGTTGGAGGCGTGAGCAAGCTCCAATTAAAACAGAAGCCGGTGATGCCGTTGAACTAGATATTGAAGAATGAAATGCCTGGAAAAGAAAAAACCAGACATCCGTAATTGGCTTAGAGGTAAATTGCATCGAGAGGGATGCAAACGATGAACGTCGAGGATATTATCTCCGACAACTTATTCTGGCGGAGGGAGCAAGAGCGATAACCCTCAGAGTATATATATACAAATATATGCATAATTTCTTAAAATAGAAAGACATTATTGCTAAATAATTTTTCATGTATTTAGGAAAATTGATGGCTATAAAATTGAGAAGTTTTTGGAAGTATATAAATTATCGATATTCATTTAGGAAAGGGCTATAATTATGATTGTGATATTTTACAAAGGATATAACTGAGAAAGATGAATCTAAATATTTTCTATTAATTTAGAAAAAAATGAAGGAGTTCTATGAAATTGTGATATTTTAGGAAGGATATAATTGTGAATAGGTCTAAATATTCTAAATTAATTTGGAAAATATTGATAGATTTCTATAAAATTGAGATTTTTAAAGAAGGATATAAGTATAACTGGTATTTCAATGCATTTTTTGAATGAAGATGAATGAAAAATGAAATTAAAGAAGAATGAAAATCCTTAGTCATCATCGCATTTGCATTCTCCCTTTGCTGAGATCTGATTATAGTTCCTTGGACACACATTGTTTATGATTTCCATTTATTTCTTCTATGAGTTTTTTAGAAGGGTTTATGTCAATGGCTGTCTATTTTCTTACAAAAACTTGCTTAATAGAATATATTTTAATTATTGAAATGGCCAAATTTTAAAAGGAGCTTAACCATTCATTAATTTAGTAAAAGGAGTGGAACTCGAAAAAAAATTCCGTATTCTTATTTTTTGTTGCGTTTTGGAATATTTGCGGTGGAAGAGAAGTATAAAGCTTAACATCTTAGCGTTATACGAAGATCCAACACACAAACAAATGAAAGTGAGGGTGCAATATTTATAAGAGACCCCAAGATTTTTACGTATAATACTCTAAAAAGGGGAAAAACAACATTGCCTAGCCCAGCTCAAATGAATCCACTAGTATTTGCAGTTGATTACAAATGAGGCCCTTCATTGGAGGATAGGCCTTGGCTTGATGTAGCAAATACACACCATATAGAATGCATTACATGGTAGAAATTGGAAGAATTAGTATTGATATGTTCATTTGGTCGGCAGGACTATAGTTGGCGGGCAACGGAGGTCCGAAAGACTACAGTATGTTGACGGTGGTCGGAGGGATCGTTGTCTGAAAAGACAGTTGTCTGGCAACGGAGGTCGAAAGGATAGCAATCTGGCTACTGAGGTCGGAAGGATCGTAGTCTCAGTGGACGACAATGGCTCTTTATAATTGTTGAGATATCACTTTCCAATTAGTTTTCTATTTATCTTGAAGTGTAATTCCTTAGAGCTCTAATTCATCAGATTTTAGCATCTTATTGAGGATTTTCATGATCATATATACATCATTTTAATTTTTATCCCTTGCTGGCAATGTGCTCTACTAGGGTTTCTTCCCCACGAGCCGCTCCTTTAACCGCAGCCCTGTTCATGGCCTCTGATGTCTCTTCTCGCTTCAGGGAAGTTTCTTGGTTGTCCTCTTTGTGTTTTCCTTCAGATTTGGTTTTTTTTTCTGGGCATTTTGTTGACGTCGTCTATGTAGTCGGTCGATGGCCGACAAACGTTTAGTGGATCCCAATTTTTTGGAGGGCAAATGCTCTTCTAGCTCATTAATTCATGATGCATTATATGGTAGCTCTTCTTCTTCGCTTTTCCCTGGCCTCAAAATATCCTCACCATGGGTTGCCCTCGTTATGGATTTCGGAAGATGAAATTTTTGCACTCGCTGCTCCATTTGAGTTTATATTGGTTGTTAAATTCCCTTCTCGTAGACCCACGCTAGATGATATTTGTAAATTGTTTTTCAACCTTAAGCTCAATGGTAAATTTTTTGCTATTGTTATAAATCCTAAGCATCTGTTAATTCAGCTTATGAATGATTTGAATAAATATCGTGACACTGTTCCTATTTTGTAAATAATTGGTTCATGAAGGTGTTTAAGTGGACTCCTACGTTTGATTGAAATTGTGTCACCCATTATTCCTATTTGAGTTTCATTCCCCAACCTAAAACCTCATCTATTTTCTCCAAGGATTCTTCATGGCCTTTGTTCCATGTTTGGTATCCCTCTTAAAATTGATCATGCTACATCCACTAGTTCTAGGCCCTTAGTTGCACGTGTCTTGGTAGAAGTAGATGTTACCAAATATTTTCCAGATAAGGTTTGAGTTGGTCCTGACAACTTGGGTTATATCTAGTCGGTGATTATGGAGAAATTTTCGTCATATTGTTCTCATTGTAAACGTTTGGGGCACTCAAAATTATAATGCAATATCTTACATCCCCATTTGATAATGTAGGTGAAAAAAATCCTATACATGTTTTTTATTTTGAGCATGTTAACAATGGTAGTGATTCACCTTTTGAATGATAATGTTGTTTATGGCGGTGTTAATGGTCTTATGCCTTCTTCTAAGGTGGGGCATTTGGTGTTGCCGGATCTGGGTGTTGCCGATGACCCTGTGATTCTTCCGATGGATTTTCCTGACTCGATTAACATTGGCTCTATGTTGGAAGTTATTGGTTTTGATCATCCTCCTATTGCTAACAATCATCTAGCTTATCTGGAGGGGGCTTTTTTCCAAGCAGAAGAATCCTCCTTTTGTGGATCATTCTGACGGAATTGATGCTTCCTCTATTGGTGAGGGGGCGGGGGTTGATTTGGTTGTAACATTTCATTACTGTTGTATTGTTAATTCTGGGGTTCCATAATTAAAGAATGATTTTAAGATTTATTTCTTCTACTAATAGTTGTTTATCTACCTATTTATCTATACCTTCTCATTTTCTTAAACACAATAATAGAATAAAATTAATTCAGAAAATTTACTATTTCTTACTCTTAGCTCTTCTCATTCTAATTTTTTTTTTGGGAAAACATAAAAATCATTTGTCACAGCTAATAGATAATTAAGGACATAAAAGTTTGTTATTATCTTAGATTAAACAAAGTACTTTTTTGTTTATATCGTATATCATGAACTCCTAACTTATTCCTTATAGAAAATTATTCATCCTAGAGTTTAGAAAAGAAATCTAAACTTGGCCACCAACAAACTCTGATGAAAAATGTATAAAAAGCAAGTGAAAGAGAGAAAATTAGGATGCTAGTATAATCCAAGTGCAAAAAATTCATACAATTGAGAACAGACCATTGGATTGCTTCTAGATATTTCAGAAATAGGATATGAACCGTGACTTATAAGCGAATCAGTTCTTTGAGTATTTGTGCACACCTGCAGATATAGCTGCACTTGTTCTGTTCAGGAGACTATATGGTCCTTACAATTTACTCATACAAGAGAAAACCAAAGTCAAATCTATAAAATTTTGCATCCAATGCCAATATTCTAACTTTCATATTGCACATCGAAAGTTGCAAAAGCACCCAAAAAAATTTTTTTTTTTTTTGAAAGCTTTGCAGCCAAATGGCCTGCAATTGATTGCAGCAGGTATTACCTTCAATCCAAAATCCCAAAGAAATGCTCCAAGCATGTGGCACTGAACACATTAGGTGCAGCACGTTCAATTCTCGTTGGAGAAATGTGAAGTTGATACTTGATGAACCTTGCTAACTGGTGTATTATATCTGGGTTTGTATCAATATGCCAATCTGGTTCTAGCTGCCGCACAAAAGAAATACGCCCATTTTCCGTACTACAGAAGAGAACCTTCTCACTGTTTAAACCACCTGATGTAAACAGACCAGCATCTTTCAAAGCCAAGAGAACTCTTTCCCCACTTTCATCATCAAGAACTCTTTCCATAAGATATAGATCACAGAATTTTGTAATCTCTAGTAGCACCTCCCGGACAGAAGATTTAACCGTTGCATGTTCCTGAAGCTCCTCCGGAGTGGTCTCCTCAAGGATTACACCCAGCAATTGGCATGTAACCTTGCGCCCTTCATTCAGCCTATACCTTACAATTTGTGCCAGAGTATGCTTTCCAGGCAGGAATAGCTCATC